AAGAAATATCGGTGTCTTTTCCCGCTAAAATAGCTATACAAATTTCCTGGCCATTTCATTTGTTAGAAAATATATTCTTATCTCTGATAACCATCAAGGTTTTGGTAGCTGCTTTTTGGAAGCAAGAGTTTGACAAGTTGTGCGCGTTACCTCCAGACTTCATGGAACCAAGGACAGGACAATGATGTTCAAACTCCATTTTATATTTTCCAGCTCTCTCGTTCATCAGAAAATATATCCTTACCTCTGATAAGGAACAAGGCTTTGGGAGTCAAATTTGAAAGCAGGGGAAAAAAATTGAGATGAGGATTAGAAAAGAGGCGAGAATGTGAACTTGTAATAGTTGGGGTTTTCAAATTAAATTCTAATACTCTCACATATGTCTCCAAGAAGTCACATTGACCCACATCCGGTCAACAACATCAAACTGCCTGTTAAACTGTTTGAGGGTAGTCAGAAAGTTTTCCTGACCTGATTGCTAAATGGGAATGCTTCTCACCAACCTACCTGTGCCAAAATGTAGGTTTATTTGGCAGAAGACTTTAGACTTTTCAATTAGCTGGATTTGCTGCATAGTTATATGGGTCTTTTGCTTTGAACAAGCCAATAGTGGGATTCAAATTTTTGTAGGAACAGGTTCTTTTACATCCCAAATATTTTGTCAATGAAATTAGAAACCAGTTCTGTGGTGGGGAAAATAAATACAATCAATAAATAAAATAATAATAATGAATAATAATAATAAAAAAGAAAATGAAATACATTTTCCAATGATGCTAAGAAATATTATTACCTTACTTGGTTTCAAAAAGATAGCACTGTTGAAGTCATTAAAAAGGCAAACATTTCCTGCTTCACTCTCTTTCTCCTTTTGACTCTAAGAGGTAGCACAACATGGTAATTACATTCCCACTGAGGAATGTTAGTTTCCCCAGTCCACTGACAACTGAACTCTCTTCCCACTTTCCAACACATGACACTCACACTTGTCTTCCAAAATCTCAACCTATGAAGTAAGCCAATTTTTATCTTTGGTTGTTCCAACTCAGTGCAAAGCTAACTTGAACACACCCATTATAATAATGCTTATACTGACTTACCCTAATTTCTGCACCAAGAAAAAGAAAATGGACAGCCCATAACCATGTTTAAACCTCCCAGTGATAAAGTACCAGACTTCCTTTGGTTCTTTCAACTCTGTGCAAGGCTGAATTGAGCTCGGCCATTAATATGATACTTATACTTACTTACCCTAACTTCTAGACCAAAATAAAATGGACATATCAAAGAGACATTGAGAATTTTGTTTCACTACAGTCAAGTTAAAAAGAATAAATGTCCATAGTAGAAACCCAAGTTTCTGTATGCTTCTTCTTTGTTTATCATATATGAACATGTACACACCTAAAATACACACAACTCTACAACAGAACCTCCATACTCTCTTCTTCTTTCATATCCCTACAGTTTTTGTCAGTAGCTATAAATCAATATATCAGGTTACTCTATGAGTGTCATACTTCTATAACATGCATATGGTAACATGAGAGAACAAATGAAACAATAAGTACTGCCTGTGAGGCAAAAGGAAAAGACAAAAATTGTTAATATAAAATTCTTATATTGCTGATACAGAGGATTTGAGCAAACAGTCTCTTTGTGGGCAAGGGAAACGACTTGGAGGAAGGGTACAGTTTGTAGGGCCTAAAGTTGATATATGTGTTGGATCAGTTGACTGAAGTCACTGGTGGTGAGATGAAGGCTTGCCAGTTGCAGATTAGATGAAGCTTGCCCATTCACCACAATTGTTTCAGTTGTTATGAACAGCATTCTTAAAAACAAATGTGGTGGCTCATAAAATCAGTTTTTTTATGATTTTTCTTTGGCAGCAACATTTGTGATTAGCTTCTTTTATATTGTATTTTATATTTTTGAGGGGATTTGTTTTCTGGGCCAGATGTGATGCTTAGTGCCCCTGCACAGAGGACCATTTTTTATTTTTTATTTTGCTTTCTCAGTGTTCACATCTGACCAACATGTAGAGTGAATCAGAAAGAGATCTAATTTGAAGCAGAATATAATATACTGGTACTAAACTGGTTCCCCCACCAGGCCTTTTCTGGTGAGGAGTGCAACTAGACATCTAGCAGGATTAAAAACAAGACCTGAAAAAAGGTGGATGAACCTTCTTGTAGGGTCATTGGCTATCTAGCACAATGAGATAGACTGGGATCCATAATTATGTATCCAGCCAGTGTGTTGATGACACAGATATCGCTGGATGAATGGCTTCCTAGACTGAAGTCAACAGCCAAAGTGGGTGTTCTCTTAATGGAATCAACAATAATATGTCTGTGACCAATGCAAGCCCTTCAAGTTGGAGGACATCAGCTGTAGCTTGAGCTGATGAGGAATGGGCTCAGCCAGGTGAACTTGCCCAAGACACTATGCTCTGGGAAGGTAATGATAGCTATTTTCTCTTTCAGACAGTTTACAGTTTTTGGATTGATTGTTGTAGGCTGATGCTGTTTTCCTTATTTTCCATGACATTTCTGGTGTGATTCTGTTTTTAATTTCCCAGATATGTTTAGAAACATTTATTTGTAAATGATATTTTGTGTGCAACTTTCTTTGTTTCCAGGGTTCTTCAGTTACTCCTATGTATATTTTTTGTGGCTTGGTATATTACATTGTTTTGCAAGCAAATGCTGTTTAAGGCTCATCCGTTCTTTGTTCTGCAGTTACATATGGATTTGATTTGGTTGGATGGTTTTGTTGATTGTTTTCCTGTTGTATTTTTTTTTGTTATTTTTGTCACAACACACATGACAGTTTTGTTTAAGCCTTAATCAGACTGTTGGCACTAGGGGTTGACTTCAATATCTATATATATATATATATATATATATATATATATATATATATATATATATATATATATAATGCAACTCAAGCATGCCTATCAAGTATGATTATATATCTATTTCATCAGTGGATCAATGTAATTCTACTTGCAATGATATCCAGCATTATCCAGGCCAAGTCTCTTTCTTTTGCTTCACTACACTAAACAGTCATTTCTTTGAGATAAATTTGCATATGCTGTAAAATGGTATATTCAAAATTGTTGGTACTAAAGTAGTTCAATACACTTAAAAATTTTTGTAGACTTTTGTTTCATATTTCTCATGTCATCATATTATATTTGTTAGATTTTCAAAATGCATAGAAGTATTGAAGTTCTTGGTTCAACCTAGACCCTTCCCCCAGGCTCCCACAATGTAAATTTTATTTTTTGGTCAAATCATTGTAAGTGGGTCAGACTAAAAACTTTCCAATCATATACTATTACAAATGCCCACATTACTTACTGCCTTTCATATATTACTTCCCTTTACTCCCAAGCTGTGATCTAAATATCACCACTTTCAAGGTAAAATGACTTTATTCTAGTAACTAAGCAATCATCAAACTGTATAATAATTATCAATGTGTATTTATTTATATATTTCCAGTGTATTTATTTATATTTCTCCTTTCCCATTTGTGGGAAATTAAATTTATGAGTGGTTATTTCACTTAGTTGTTTTAATAATCTATACAAATAAAATATTTATCTGAATTTAGAGAGGAAAATAAACAGTTTAATTAATCAGTACCTTTACTTCTATGTTTCCTAGATTGCAATCTTATTTGTTCAAGCCTTTCATGTGAAGAACTCAGATACTTTTGTCCATTAAGTGATCATCTTACTTGAACTTGATCTTGAAATAGGCTTTGTTATTGCTCTCATTATCCTTCTGTTGCTAATCTTTTTCTTCTGAAAAATATTTCTATTTCACTATTATATTAAACACATAAAATTTTTAACATGCAGAGATATTGAGCAAAAAAGTGATTTATATAAGACCAAGAGTAATCAATGAATCATAGATACCATTGTATGTCTAAAAAGTATAAAATGAATGGATTAATTAAATGGTTCATTGGTCTCTAATTTTATTGTGAATTCTTTATCTCTGCTTTATTCAATCTCATATATATTTAAAATTTTATTTTGAAACCTGAATATTCAAAGCATTTAACTCCATTAAACAAAAACTGCTAAATTAGGCAAGATATAAGAGATATGCTAGTAGATATGAGTGATATAAGCAAATTTAAGTGATACCAGTTTTACATTACCAACTTCATGTGTATTTAAGTTGGCCAAGATATGACATATGTTGGTAGATACAAATATAAACTGCATTAATTTGATGTCACAGTTTCACATTACCAACTACATATGTATTTAAGTTGGGCAAGATATAAGACACATGCTGGAAGATATGAATGATAACTCATATTATGTGAGTTTATAATTATTATATTCAGTTTCAGGGTGCTAATCCCATGGTAGTACCTTTCTTAAAGGGGGGACAAGGATTAATCCTTGGTGTCCGAGATTTCCCAGTAGGAAAATGGCAAGGGAGTTGAACAGTTTTTGTCCCTGACTCCATGTAGACATGGTACACCTACTTTAAACTTTGTCATGTGCCATATTGTGTTTCAGTGTGTCTACACAGAAATGCTATAACTTGCATTTGATATCATAGTTTTATGCAAACAAACATTGACAAACAAATAACTTTACATATATTTAATTTTCAGGGGTTTGTGTGAACATACACAAAACTTTGTGAATTATATTGATTTTTTGGGGGGTGGGGGGATCTCAGAAACATTATTTTTTTAAAAATTAGTCGTGCTCTATTTTTTTTTTTTAAATGTGTAAATTCATTGCGCATTTTTTAAAATTGTTGCTCTAGTTTAAAAAAAAAAAGAAAGAAAAGTTCCATTAAGTTAGTGTTATTATTGTTACGGACTGCAGACGACAATTTTGCTCTCACGACAGCTGATAAATAACGATAACCTACATGATGACGTATGGTCTGACGGTAACCAATCAAAAAAACTTTTACTTTCGCTCCTAACTTCCTGTTCCATGTAAATTCAAGATGGAGGGTAATAAGGATGAAAGTGAGCGATGTATTTCGATAGCGGAAAAATATATAGCTGCTGGTGATAAAGACAAAGCACTGAAATTTTTAAACAAAGCAGAAAGATTGTATCCGTCTGTGAAGGCCAGAGGTAATGTTAACCGTTAGTTTTTTTATATCTTCACAATAATAAACTTGACTGCTACAATGGCAACGATGTCTATGTGTAGTGTGTGTACCAACCTCTAAAGATCGAACACGTCAAGCGAGGTGGTCAGATCGAGTGGGATAGACTAACACAGTTTTTTGTCTATTTATTTTTTAATTATATATTTTAGTGAGATCGGTCATATTTTTGTTTGATCTAACTTGAATTTTGTAAACTTTTATTTAGCTTTGGACATATTTTTTCTCGTCAACTATTCTCCTCGTTCCCGTTTGTCTCATGTCCCCCTCCTGCTACTATTGAGTCTAAAAATTCTACTGTCACTACTACCCGTATACTGCCGGATTGATATATATATATATATATATATATATATATATATATATCTACTGCACCAACCTACATAGACACCGTTCCAAATAAAGCTTTAGCTTATATATATATTTTTGTAGAAGTCATCATAATAACTAACTGAACACATAAGCTTTTAGCTTCTTTGGTGTCCATGCAACTGTTTTTTATTTATTTATTTTTTTTTGGTTCGCGATCTCTTGTTTAACTTTATTTATTCTGTTGTTTTCTCTTCAAAAAAAGAAACAGTTATTGGCAATTATGTAGCCAATTTGGATTATTTCGACGTATAAATACGATTTACCGAACAACGCTGTCATAACCCTTAAAATTTACTTGTTTATTTGTCAGTAGTTTCTTTTCGTATTTTTTAAAAAGTCATCATCATCAGGCCTATTTGGTTTGCAAATTGATTGCGTATCAAATTGTAAAAAAAATAAGAATAAAATCCTGGACTTAGTAAAATAATCTTTTGAAAAAAAAAAAAACAATACATCCAAACTATTTTTAAGTTTTAATTCAATAAGATTTTACAAATTATGTACTTCCCATTTTATTCAACATGTGATTTTTTTTTCTGACGGAAATGAATAATAATGACAATAATTCTTTTGTTTTAAAATTGGATTCGTGTTGGTGGAAAAAAAAAAAAGGTAGCTAAATTAAAATTAATCTCATTCATTTATTATATTTTTTAAGTCGTTTGTTAAGAAGACTTTAGGAAGCTATCATGGATTTTGTTTGAAACATTTACAAGTCAATGATTGTACTTCCTAAAATATTTTGAATTTTTAAACTTAAATTTGTGCAAAACATACCTAGCACATGGCCAATAATGGGTCTTTTCGCCGGCCATTTTTGACTATTCAAATAATTCCATAAAATATTCTGACCATAATTCTTCTCTTTTTAGATTCAAATACGGCCACTTTTACGTGATTAATATTCAGTTATTTATCATCTGACAATCGGTGCCTATTAATTTTCCTGTTTGCTCAAGTGACTTCTTCAGCATTTCCTTTTAAAATAAAACACTTTTAGATCCCTTATTTTTTCGATAATTTACTAAAATTGTTCTTTTTATTCAAGATGTAGTTGATTTTGATTATATAAATTTAAGTTCTTTAAATTTTCAAAGGTTAATTTCAAGTAGTAGATTAATTAACCTTTGCACTCTGAGCATTGCTTGAAGATTCAACCCGAAAGTCAATCAAACATTAAATTTATAAACTATTGATCTCGTACTGAACAATTTCCTCACAGATGAAGAAAGGACTTGAAGCAATAAAAATGTGGTTCTACAGAATGATGCCGAGAATACCATGAACTGGACATGTGAGCAACAATGAAGTTTTAGAGAAAATGGAAACAAAAAGGACACTTGTACTTAAAATCAGAAAGATAGAATTGAAAGTTCTAGGATACATGAGGAAATAGGGCTTGTAAACAGACAGATTGAAGGCAAGAGAGACAGGAAAACTCATGACCTATCTTACAAGCTTGTGTAAATGAATAACATAAAAATTTATTAAGAGTTACAAAAGACAAAATTGTGGAGAGCCATGATCGCCAACATCCTGAAGGAACACAGCACATAGATGATCGTGTTCCTTTTTGTAGAAAAAAAAATTAATTTGAGAAACTGACAAACAGGAGGGCAACATTAGGTATTGGAGGAAAAGTAATTTTAATATATAATTCTGCTCAAAATAATAATTTAAAAAAAAAAAAGATGTATGATTTTTTTTTTTTTTTTTTTTTTTTTTTCAATTTTTTGGAAACTCTTTGCAGATGTTTTTTTTTCTGGATTTAAAATGACTTACTAAGCTTTAGCCAAATAATTTTTAATCTGTCTAAACTTTATAGTTAAAAAAAAATATGATAATGAAATATTAAACTATTTCTACAACTTACTGTTGTTCCCAGGTCCAGCCTAACCCAGAGTGGAAGCACTGGCTAGGGCCTAGCTATGGGCAAATAGTGAACCCCCAAATTTGGGTCAAAACATGAAAATATAAAAATACATTAGAAAAAATTACCAACAATACATTTTCATAGTAAAAAAAAAAGAAAAAATTACCAAAGCTCACAAGAAAATAAAATTTAGCATTAAGTGACCCATAAGGAGTTGATATGCCGTTAAACAAACTAAACCAAATTGCTGTGTATTCATTATCACTCAATGACTATCACAATTATTTAATATCAAAGTTCAAGATATTTCTAGATTAAAAGAGGTATTGTAAAAAGTTAAAAAAAATGAAAAAGTAACTTAATTAGAGTCACTTAATTTGAGTTACCATATTAATAGTGTATCAAACTTGTTTTTACTTCCAAAATGGCTAAAGATCATATCAAAATTGTTGTATCTGGTAGTTTAATGTTTATCTAGATGCCATTAGCTAGCGATACTTGTACTTAACTCCATAATATTGTTACATTAAATCTAAATGTCTTGTGTGTCTTGTATACTGTCAAATACAGTAATTATGCAAATGGGTCATTATTTAGACTCACCTGGCATAAGGTCATGGTGGGTATGTGCAACATCCACACAGGATCAAACTAACTAGTGAATTGTCTTGATAACTAACACTGCATGGTAGACAACAAGATTATTTAGGAAGGTGTAGTATTTAATAATTGTGAAATCTTTTACATGCCTTCAACTTTTTTTATTTATTTTTTTTATAAATTCACCCAAAGCAAGGCAATAATACCACTAAGATGCAAGGGGCTACTGGGAATGAAAAATTCTTTAAAAAGAATTGGAAACCCAGTCCTAATCAGAAATCGAGAGATAAAGATTTTCTCCTGTTCAAAAGACCTGGAAGGAGTATTAATAATAGTATGTTTTGGAATAAAGGCACTTTTTAATTATGTTGTTGTCATATATTATTTTGGCAGTATAGTAAAAATGTAAAAAATGTTTCAAACTATTTGTTTTAAAATGACTTTAATATTTAAACATTTAATAGTAATTGGTATTCTTTTGAAAGTTATCATTTAATATAAATAATTAAGTGTAGATTAAGTGTTTATTGACACATTAAGTGAGGAATGAATTTACATCATGTGAACCAAAGAACTGTAATGATGAAAATTCCTGTCATCAGCTATTTATTGGTTAAAGGACATTATTTTGCAACCCTAAATTGGTTATATTAAATATGAAGGGATGCTAAAAAGTTCTTGGCCCAACTCTCTTACCAAAATCTGACCATATGACCAAAGTTTTTTTTATATATAATATATATATATATATACATACATATATATATATATATATATAGAGAGAGAGAGATATTCTTTGGCTGGTCTGAGAATTTAGCTGCACTTCTTCATATAAATTTTTCTTTGTCTAGCATAAAGATTTACAAAATCCTCCATATTTATTAATGTTATCGCAAATATTGTATTTAATTGCCTTTTATCATTTTTAATACATTGATAATGGTGAGTTTGATTTTTTTTTTATCTATCAAAAACATTTTCTAGGTTAATTTTTATGTACTATTAATGCATTTTGCAAAGAATTCACTATAAATTGGATAAAATATGTCATCAGTTTAATGCCTCACTTATATAAGTCTGTCAATAAAAGAAATATATATATTGGTTTTTGTTTGATATCAAACAAACTTCAGTTAAGAATTTCTTTTTATCAGTATAAAATAATTAAAAAGTTTCACCTTATTTCATTGTATTGCTACTGCAGTACTATGTCTGTTAGAAATGCTTTCATGGGAAGTATTTTAGTGGTGCCTAGCAGTTAAAATTTTATATTAACAAAATCTAAAATAATGGCCGCCAACAGTTTGAAGACTCCTCTAGATTTAAAGCAAAAATGTCACTCTTAAACATAAAATGATTAATGGCTTAAGTTTAGAGTTACCTTAAAAGTACTTATTAAAATGAATCATATGAATGCACTTTGGCATTTTAGAAATGCATGATGAATTTTTAACTTTAATTTCAACACAAGAAAAAAATTAATATCTGAGGTACTGTAACTATTTACATTATTTAGACTATTATCCTCATCTTTATCATATTCATAATATTTTGAACTGAACCCTTTATTTAGTTCACTGGGGTAGATTGTTCTAGTTCTCAGTGCCATGCCTTTTCTGGATATCTTTGTTTCAGTTATTTCCCTATAGTAACTCTACTCTCCAAGTTTTGTTCACCTCTGCTGTAGCAAGATATTGAACTCACAACTTTTGAGGTCTAGTCACTGGATTATTTCAACCAACATTTTTATCCACTTGGGCATTAGGTTAATTAGATGCCAAATCTAAAATTCAGTTAATATTTGAGATGACATTTTGATGATGAAAATAATAAAGTATAACTTGTCACTAATAAGCTCTTTAAAAATGAGTCATTGTATTTTTCCATTTATCTTTTACTTGGGTCAATTTAGCAAATGTTCATTCACTGGTTATCTAGCAGTACAAATTGTAATCCTTTCTTTTTAATTTCCTATCTAAATTACTATTTTAACTACTCTTCAAATTTATTCATATTGGAATTTGTTTGCCTCTTATCTGATTATCTTTTGCATTTTATCTTTAAATTGCTATTATTTGCATATTCTGTAATGGTGGTCTTCAAAAAAATATTCTTTAAAT